AAATGGTAAAATGGCGAAACAGTAGCTGTTGTCCGAAAGGAGACACTACGGAAGAGGCCTTCTGGCGGCAACAAACGCGGTCTCACCAAACAGTTTGGGACCCTCACCCGCGATGGGCGACGGCATTTCCCACCTTCGCTGTGCTAACAGGGCCGAGGCCAGAGTACCCATCATAGCAGCAAACCGCTGCAACGACCAGCAGCTGACGGTCAGGCCCACCCCTCAGGATGCTAACAAAGCCCAAACAGCACCAACAAAACCCTCAGCATTTATATCCCCTCTGAAAATTCAGATTTTGGATGTGCAGTGGTGTCTGCTGGCAGCCCAGTCCCGGTCAAGCGCAGCTCCCGATAACCAATTCGGCAACAGCCGCCTGATGGAAAACACCGCGCGAGCGACGCGCCGCGCGCCTGCGCCGGGCGACACCAGCAAACGGCCTCGGGAGCTGCCTTTCTCGCAGATCTGACTACAGAGCTGCTGCCTGTATCCGCAGATCCTCCCTAGGATTGAATTTTCACTCCCAGCTCCACCAAGAGCGCTGGTTTGGAGGAGCGGTGAGGAGTCACTCTCATTAAAGGCTGATGGAACGTGCACCAAGTGCCAAGAAGACAGCATCCACCTGCAGTTCCCCAAGCTACCAGACAAAGTGTAATAGCTTCGAGGAAGAGATGTAGGCAAAACTGAAGATCTGCTTACTCCTACAGTATGGAATCTTCTCCCAAGAAACTTCATTGTCTTTAAGGACACATTCCGTAGACGGATTCCCAACTAATCGGTACCTAAGAAAACAAAAGGTTGAATCTCTTTGAAAAAAGTGGAAAAAACCCAAACAAACCATGGGAAATTCAGAGAGTTGTACAGTTTCTAATGGTATTCTCTGGAGGAGCTGAACCCGAGGGGAAAATCAGCTAGCCCTCCTACAAAATGCAATTTTCTCAGTACCTACAGAAATGCAACACATGACGCAGTTTGAGGAAACTTCATACTCGCTGTGGGTGCGCACAGGCTCACAGGAGCGCGAGCAAGACGGCATCCCCACCCCGAGTCTGCTCAGCCCCGTGGCAGATCTAAACAGCAAGTTCTCACCCGAGCAGAGCGAGGTGTGACTGACGTGCCTTACTCGCCCTCTTT